CCGGCCAGCAGTTCTTGTCCTCTCCTCACCCTGATATTCACTAGCCACACTCCTCGAAGGTGTTGAAATTGAATTCCTTCAAGGGCAAGGAACGTGCCTGGTTCTCCTTCACTCTCTCTGAGGACCTGAGGCAGTGCCTGACACAGCAGATGCTCGGTAAGTATTTGCTGAATGAACCCATGAAGAGGTGAACTCGTGGGGAGTGGACTGAGAGGATCATTTTGCTTTTGTGCCCTGGCCCATCTACACCCTTGCTCCCTGACTGCTAGAAAAAAGATGGAATTTCCTCTCTTCAAGGCCAACCACCCCAAGGCTAATGCCCAGAGTGATTGCAAGGGTGATGCACTCAGCTAAGGAAGGGAGAGCGCAGTTTGTGCATAACAACCAAGGACGTAGATTATAGGATACTTGAGAGAGAGAGAGAGAGAGAGAGAGAGAGAGAGAGAGAGAGAGAGAGAGAGCGCTTCAATGGAGTCAGTCTGTATGAAAACCAATGAGACAAAAACCATTGCTCATGGAACTGATGGAGATACATTTGCACAGGTATCCTTCTTATATCACCCAGAAACTTCTTTGTGCCCTGCCACGGCAGCTGCAGCTGACCCTGGCTTCCTCAGAACACCCAAGGCCCTTGTGAAATCAATAGACACAAAGCTGGGAACCAGAGGCAAAGCCAGACCACACAAAGGAGATTCACAAGCTCTGGGCCTGGAAGTCAGCCTTCTGTTTTCAGTGCAATCACATGACCATGTATGAATGGAACCTCCTTGGGAAGTTCCATGGAGTGCCTTGCTTCCCAGACTATCAAAGGACCCAAAGGATGTGATGGCATTTGGGATCTAAGCGAGGAGTTTCCCATTTTGGAACTCTCTTCCTGGCTTGGATGGACAAGGCAAGATTCCTTTGACCTTGTGGACAAAAATGTAACATGCATCTAGAAAGTTTTTTTGTTGTTGTTGTTGTTGTTTTAATTTTTCTTTTTGACTGGAGATTTCATTGGAGATTTCTTTTTAATTGGAGTTACTTTCCTTAAGTTTAGTTCATTCCCTGTTTTGAAAACCTCATCAGCATGCATAGGATAAAGACCAAACCCTTGAGTGGTCTGTGTCCTGGCTTTTCCAGCGCCATCTTCCTTCCACGTCTCTCCTTGCTCTGCTGTGCTTCCAGTAGCAGCCTAAGCAAACCCACAAGGTCACACCGCTGTGTCTCTGCTCATGCTATGTCCTAGCCTTGGGCCCTTTCTCCTCTTCCAGTTACCAAAATCCCCTTTGGCTTTAAAGAGTGATACCAGCTGCCACCACTTCTGGAAGTTTTTATCCATCCCTGAGCTGTCATAAATTATTTCTTCTTCCAATCCCCTCCACACTTGGCTGCAATTCCAACATATTACCTAGTTTATTTGTTCTTCGATTCCCATGCATATCCCTCTGTCTCCAACTAGATGTCAGTTCTTTGAGGATGGGGTCCATGGCCCATGTTTCATCCTTGCCCTCCCCAAAATGATAGCTTTGTACACGGTAGCTACCCAGTAAGGTTGCTGAATGAACTTTGTTGAATTTTCACTCAGTCCATCCAGAAGGAAAAAGGTAATTCCCACTGGGCCAGGTCAGCAGGGGCGCTCTCAGATTCACAGACTGGGAAAGGATGCCGAGAGGCCCCTCATCCATCTCTGCCTGCACGTGAGCTCAGCAAAGCTGGACAAGAAAGATGAGGCTCGTTCTACTTGCTGAGGAAGGAAGGGGTTTCAGGCGACTTCTGAACACTCCTTGTCAGGAAATCCTCCTTACAATTCATCTTAAAGCCTGTGTATTGGTCATTATTGTTACAGCAGCACTTTAGCTGCTGGTTTTTATTATTATGGGATTAACTGAGATTGCTGTGCATGTCCCTGGAGGCTTTTTAAAGCAACTGTCTTAGAAATTGAAAGCACTGTTGGATAGTAGAGTTAATAAAATGTGCTTAGTGGGTGCCTCCTATTTAGCATAAAGTTTCATACCTCCAGCCCCATGGGCTGATAAAAATTAAAGATTTTCCCATGCTTCAGCATTAAGACAAAAATCAGCTGTGATTTTACCTTCCAAGGGGAAAAAGAAAGAACGTCTAACCCTCTCCTTTCCCAATTTCCCTTGCATGGCTAATAGAGCCATTTCTTGTAAAATGGCTTTTCTTCAGCACTAAAGCTCAAGCAATGGATCTGGCACTGAAATGTCTCTGTGTTGGTGGCTGGAGTCATTTAGAAACTCTACATCATTAATTTAAATGATTGCCAAGCAAAATACAATGAATACGTAATGTGAGGGATGTGGGCCACACAATGGGGAAGTCAAAATGGTGGCCTGGCCCTGGTCTCCCACGAGGGCAGGAAACATTCTATTCCCTTCCCCACCTCCAGCCCTTACCCACCCCTGAACCCTAAACTCCCATGACTCTGCCTGCCAAGCAAATCCAATCTCTGCCCCCAGGGAGTCCACATGGACCTGCCTGTGAGGTAGAAAACACCTGACCCCTTAGAGCCCTGATCTTGACCTTGTCTAAGCTGACAAAACAGTCGTAGTATTTATGGTGGATGTTGGCCACATATCCATCTAGACAGGATGCTGTAAAGAACGTTGACTGTGGTATCAGAAGGTCCAGAGTTTGAATCCTACTCAAAACTTATTAGTTTTGTGACCCTGGGCAAGTTACTTACCCCTTGAGCCTCCATTTCCTCGCCTGTGAAATGGGGATAAAAATAATGACCTCTTTGGATTGCTGATTTGAGGTAAATGAGCCCTTGTATGTGAAACACTGAGCATGGCCCCTGAGGAATGATAGGTACCCCTGAACAACACCTATTGTCACTTAACTTACTCCCCAACCGCCCATTTGCATGTAGGTGCCACATTCAAAAGGATAAAAGGTGAAGGTTTCAGTAACATGGGGGGTTCCAAGTGGGCCACATTAGCACCTCTAAACCCCCTGCACATTGATTGCTACTGGCTCGTCTCTCCTGACAACAGACATTGACTGGTGTCCCTCCTGGAGGGCACCCCTCCCATCCTTGTCCTTGACATTCCACACCTCTAGCTGGTCTCTCAGGCCTGGCAGGGTGCTACTTCCGTTGCTGCCAGGTTCTCGGTCTCAGAGGCCTTGTTCACACTGCCCCCCTGACCTGCCCTCTCCTTCCTGCCACGGACAGATGTTGCCTCAATGGGCAGATGTGGTGGCCACAGTTAATTGGCTGGGGATACAGAGACAGCAGCCCAGTTTCTTCCTGGACAATTGCCAATTATACTTAGGTTGATAACAGTGCAAAGCCTGTGGTGGCTTCTATTTCAGAATAAAAACTGGGTGGGGGTGGGGCCCTTCCCCCATTCCTTATTTCTGGGACCTCAGCTCCTACACCACTTGCTGTGCTCACAGGGAGCCATAATGGCCTCCTTTCTATCCCTAAAACATTCTGGAATACCTGTTCTGCCTCAGAAGGTTTGCATTAGCCATTCCCTTTGCCCTGGCACTCGTCCCCCTCAGGTCCTGCTCCTGCAGGACTCTAGTCATATGCCACCCTCTTTGCTGGCCCATTATTTCAAACTGCAGCTTATGACCCCCTTCCTGGCTTCTTTTTCTCCATAGCGTCTCTCCCCAACTCCCCCTCAGGACATCCCCTCTAAGTTAATACTCTAAATGTAGGATTCCTCTGGTTTTTCAAAACCACACTTCAAAAAATATACACATCTCTCAAAGCAACATTTTCTTCAGCTGATGTTTGTATAGGAAAAAGCATATACTTATA